CTCAGCCGGTCTGAGGGCAGTCAACTGGCCGTTTCAAAAAGCTTTCCGAGGACCCTCTGCCAGGGGCGAGTGCTCACGCCTGTCATGCCCAGCCTTCCTGGAGGCCAGGCGGCAGATTGCTCGAGTCCAGGAGTTCAACAACCAGCCTGAGCAAGAGGCGAGACCCCCATCTCTACTATAAATCACGGACAAGAAATTCATTGGCAACTAACTCAGTACTATCACACCGGACAAGACACTTAGCGGGCATGCGGCGCTGGCGCTCGCTCGTAGTCCGCTACTCGGGCGGCTGCAGGGCAGAAGGATCGCCTGTGAGCAGGAGTTCTGGAGGCTTTGCTGTGAGCTCAGGCCTGACGCCCCCACGGCACTCCACGTCTACGCGCTGGGCAACAAGCCGAGACTCCCTGTCGTCAAAATAAAATACACGCGTACAACTAACATAAGATAAATAAAAACTGTCAAACCAAAAAAACACAGTTTGAAGGACCGCTCGTTCTTAAGGAAACGCAACCGTGTCTCTTGCCCCTTTCTCAGCGTCTAGTGGCCGCCTGTATTCCTTGGCTTGTGGCCTCTTCCTCCACCTTCAGATCACAACCCTCCAATCTCGGCTTCATCACCTCAACAACCTTCTGACCGCCCCTGTGTGCCGCTCTTAGATAATCCAGGGTACTCTCCCCATCTCACGGTGCTCAACTTATTCACAGCTGCACAGTCCCTTTGCCCATGCTAGGGAACATATTCACAGGCTTTCGGCGTCTTTGGGGTCTTTGGATGTCTTTGGGGGCCATTATTCAGCTGACCTTCCGCAAATGACAGATGCCAACACACGTCTGGCAGATAAATCGGGTGGAGGCCGAGGGACAGGAATCAGAGTGAGGAAGATGACAGTACCAAGGAGGAGCCTGCAGGACAGGCAGCCAGGGGTGACCCAGGTGGCAGGGAGTCAGAGCAGTGAGACAAGCAGACCAGGTGGGCTCAGAGGAGAGTCTGTCTGTGCCACCTACTCCCTGCCCTCCACCTTCGCCCAGGGCGCAGGCCACCCAACATCCAGGAGCAGGAGGACAAGCACGTACGTGTGGCTCCCCAGAGAGAGCCACTGTCTGGCAGCCGGAGGTGGTAACGAGGGCAGATGCTGGCATGTGAAATGAAGGGGATGAAAAAAACCAAGCAGCCAGCCCTATCCTGGCACTTGTAGCGGAGGGAAGGGACAGCCAGGGGCCCCTGGACTCTCCCACGCCCACAGGGGAGACCAGCCTGTGCGCAAACCCCGACACAAAGGCCCCATTCATGCCCCAAGGCTGGCTAGAGCCCGCGGGAAACAGGCAGGCAGCGCCATCGCCTACACACACCAGCCTTGTCACTCCTTTAAGAATGTCACTCCTCCTAGTCTGTAACTTTGAATTAAAAAAAGAAAAAGAAAAGAAAAGAAAAAGAAAAAGAAGAAAAAAATAATTTAAAAAAAAAGAAAGAATGTCACTCCTTTAAGAATGTCTGGTGGACAAGCAAGGTCCACCAGATAGGAACAAAAAAACAACACAGAACAAAAGTCAACGGCTTCCTCACGCCTGTAATCCTAGCACTCTGGAAGGCCGTGGCGGATTGCTTGCGGTCAGGAGTTCGAAACCAGCCTGAGCAAGAGTGAGACCCCGTCTCTACTATAAATAGAAAGAAATTAATTGGCCATCTGATATATATAGAAAAAATTAGCCGGGCATGGTGGCGCATGCCTGTAGTCCCAGCTACTCGGGAGGTTGAGGCAGGAGGATCACTTGAGCCCAGGAGTCTAAGGTTGCTATGAGCTAGGCTGACGCCACGGCACTCTAGCCTGGGCATCAAAGTGAGACTCTGTCTCAAAAAATAAAAAAAATAAAAAGTCAACGGCTTCTTCAGGACCCAATCAAGGTGCAACAACTGTATTGGGTTGTTTACGTCTCTCTGGTGTCTTTTTTGGTTTTTCATCCATTGGTTTTTTGAAGAGTCCTGCCCAGTTATCTTGGGGCTGGCCTATTCTCAATGCCTGGTGGTTTCCTCATTATTAAATTTAGGTTCAACACTTTTTTGTTTGTTTATTTGTTTTTGAGACAGAGTCTCACTTTGTTGCCCAGGCTAGAGTGCATCAGCCTAGCTCACAGCAACCTCAGACTCCTGGGCTCAAGCGATCCTCCTGCCTCAGCCTCCCAAGTAGCTGGCTGGGACTACAGGCATGCGCCACCATGCCCAGCTAATTTTTTCTATATATATTAGTTGGCCAAATAATTTCTTTCTGTTTATGGTAGAGACAGGGGTTTCGCTCTTGCTCAGGCTGGTTTCGAACTCCTGACCTTGAGCAATCCGCCTGCCTCGGCCTCCCAGAGTGCTAGGATTACAGGCATGAGCCACCACGCCCAGCCAACACTTTCTTTTATTTTTTTAAAAGAATTCTGCATAGGCAATTTTGTGTCACATCAGGAGACATTTGATGTCGGGATGTCCCATTATGCAGGACACTGTTCAATTGCTTGCTTAAGAGGGTGTCTCCCCCCAACGCCACTGCAGAGGTACATTCTTTCCCCTTCGTAATGAATAAGTCACGTTTAGGTAATTCGGCCTTTTCTTTTTTTCTTTAAAAAAAATTGAGCAAGCCGGGTGCGGTGGCTCACGCCTGTAATCCTAGCACTCTGGGAGGCCGAGGCGGGCGGATTGCTCAAAGTCGAGAGTTCGAAACCAGCCTGAGCGAGACCCCGTCTCTACTATAAATAGAAATAAATTAATTGGCCAACTAATATATATACAAAAAATCAGCCGGGCATGGTGGCACATGCCTGTAGTCCCAGCTACTCGGGAGGCTGAGGCAGGAGGATTGCTTGAGCCCAGGAGTTTGAGGTTGCTGTGAGCTAGGCTGACGCCACGGCACTCACTCTAGCCTGGGCATCAAAAGTGAGACTCTGTCTCAAAAAAAAAAAAAAAATTGAGCAGAACTAGAAGGAGATAATTCGGCCTTTTCCTCAGCATTCTGTTACCTATGATTTTAGCATTCTTTGATGATCCAATTATTTTACTAGGGACCCCCCGTGTTTTTTTCATAATTTAACTGTGAAAAACATGTATTATCTGTAGAAGTAAATTGTTCAGTGCCTGTAAAATTATGTAATCTATGTAGTCTGCATCTGGTTCACAGCAGGTGCTTAATAATGGTATCCATTTTAAAAAATCATCCCAGTGGCAGGGCTACAATCTCTTATCTGCAAACCTCAAGTTCCCTCTTCAGTGGAAACCCCACACTCCTCAAGCAGCGACGGTGGCCTGCATTAACATCAGGCCATTTGTAACCTACATGCCACTAAGTGTGTATTTCTCCCCACACACGCTTTGAAGCAGAAATGTCACATGATCTTGGAGGACAGCACCCCCCCCAACACTGTATATGGTATTTGCATTGTATTAGTCAAAAATCCAAAAAATCCGGGATCCAAAACATATCTAGTCTTAAGTCATTGAGATAAGAAACTGCGTGCCGATCAGCACTAAACACTCTACCGATAATACAGCAGTTTTACAAGCCACAGCGAAAAACTTCAAAGGCTGTTGGTACAAACAAGTGTAGGGTGAGGTTTAGAGTGAGCCAGGGCTGCGCACGCAGCATCGCCTGCAGATCTCACGCCGCCCTCATGGTGGCGCTGCGGCGCCGGGCTGAGGTTTCTAGGGGAAGGGGCTTGGGGAATCCAGGCTCCAACCCACTCTTGCGGGGTGAACCCCAAGCTAGCACCCGGGACTTGGTGCACAGACTACGCATCATTGGGCATTGGTTTCTCGGAGAAGCGTCCATGGGATCATGAGTCTTTTTTTTTTTTTTGAGACAGAGTCTCACTTTTTTGCCCAGGCTAGAGTGAGTGCCGTGGTGTCAGCCTAGCTCACAGCAACCTCAAACTCCTGGGCTCAAGCGATCCTCCTGCCTCAGCCTCCCGAGTGGCTGGGACTACAGGCATGCGCCACCATGCCCGGCTAATTTTCTCTCTCTCTTTATATATATATTAGTTGGCCAATTAATTACTTCCTATTTATAGTAGAGACGGGGGGGGGGGGTCCTCCCTCTTGCTCAGGCTGGTTTCGAACTCCTGATCTCGAGCAATCCACCCGCCTCGGCCTCCCAGAGTGCTAGGATGACAGGCGTGAGCCACCGCGCCCGGCCCATGCGTCTTTATCATGCATTTAGCACAGTGGCAGATAGGCGCGAGTGGCACTAGTATAACGATTCACTAGCGCGGGGGACATTGGATCTGGGTGTCTGAGGTCGGTCACCTTGGGGTCCCTGGGACAATGGGGCAATCAGAAGGCACAGTGAAGGCCCAAGGGCAGAGACAAAGGGAGATATATAGGTCGAGGACCCATCCTTACCGACACTGAACTTTCGGGTTAATTAATTCAGTTGTCTACAGCTGGGGCCCGGGGCGTGGGGTGGCCCCCACGGTAGGAGGGCTCAGGTGTGTCCCTGACGCAGGACACACGCGTGGCAGAGGGGCTCCGTTTAATCACAGGCGGGGGCTTCTGAGCATCTAATGCTTGGGGCGTACTGTAACTGCGAGAAAAGTCCCTGTGGCTCGGGACGTCTATCCAAGGGTTTCAGGTTTCGAACTCCTGACCTTGAGCGATCAGCCCGCCTCAGCCTCCCAGAGTGCTAGGATTACAGGCCTGAGGCGCACGGCGGGGGTCGCAGAACCGCGCCCGATCCCCTGGGTGTCGCGGAGGGCGCAGGCGGCGGGGGCAGGAGGAGGGAGCAGGACCGGGGCGGGCTTGGCGGCGGGGAGCGGGAGGCCCGGGGACGCGGGGTTGGCCCGGAGGAGGCTCCTGGGGCGCGCGCCCGGGGACGCGGGGCTAGGTCGCGGGGACCCCGCGGAGGGCGGGAGGGACCTCGCGGGGCCGGGCGGGCCGGGCTGGGAGCTGGGAAGGCCGCCCCTCCCCGCGGGCCTGGCGGCGGCCGGGCCTCCGGGATCCCGGCCCCGCCCTCGCTCCCGCCGGGCGCCGCGGCCTTCCCCGCCCATCGCAGGCCCGCACCCCGCGCCAGGCCACCCGTCCCGGGGCTCCCTGGGCCGCACCGGCCGGTCATCCCGGGGAGCCCCCCGACTGCCTCCCAGGGTGAGGCGGGGAAGGACAGCTTAGCGCCCCGCCGCCTCCGAGCAGGCCGCCAGGTGAGCGCCGGGACAGGTAGGGGACCCAGGTCTCGGGCCGAGTGTCGCGTCCTCACCCGCAGCTGGGGCGCGGGAGTTAGGCCTCCTGCCCCAGGCCCTGCCCCGGGGAGTCCCGTCGCCCCAGCGGCCCGCCCGGCCCGCGCCCGGCGCCGCGCGGCTGTAGACCCGGAGTCTGCAGACCACGTTAGAAAGCCCCAGATCGTTCTGGAAAGCGCTTTGCTTTCAGTCTGCCCACGCCTCCCCGCCCCCTCTCCCGTCCGCGGAGGCCACCATTAAAAAAAAAAACCTTAAAAAACGCTCCGGATCACCACGTGCGCGGCAGCCCGGGCAAAGGCCCGACCACTGTTTACCCTTGAAGAGTTTCTTTCTTCCGGCCGTGCAAAATCTGTGAATCAGGCGTCTCGGGGTCCGAATCCGGATTTAGCAGCTCGGGGACATCGTGTGTTTGGCTGTGGCCGCTTCTCTCCATTTGAATTTTGTTCTGTTATTTTTGCAACGTTCAGTAATATATATATATTTTTTTTAACTCTCTAGATCCTCTTCCTTCAACTTTAGACAGCATCTATTTACTCCATATTTTGAGAGACTGAAATATTTTCGAATCGAGTTTTGAAATAAATGATAATGTTTTAAATGTTCCAGTAATACACAAGAATAAGACAATTAGAACATACAGGGAGCTTTGCGTGACAAACAAGCCCTATAAACAACAGCTGCCCCCTCATTCTCCCTCCCTGGCAGCCAATTAAAATTTACTGTAATTAAATTACTTTTCTTTTTCTGTTTTTTGTTTTTTGTTTTTTTTTTTTTTTTTTTTGAGACAAGTTCTCTCTATGTCGTTGCCTGGGCTAGTCTTGAACTCCTGGCCTCAAGTGATCCTCCTGCACTTGGCCTCCGAAAGTGCTGGGATTACAGGCGTGAGCCACCCACGCCCAGCCTTAAATTGCTTTTCAAAAATGCCAAAATTGACTTGTGATGGCTGTCGCATCGTTTTTAACTTTCTCTGCTTTTTATTCCTTTGGTATTTACTTCCAAATCTTTAAAGCAAAATTTTTGGATTGTTATTTCTTATTTTATCAACTTTTACGAAATGTGTCCATCAATCCTTTGCTAAAATTAGGAGACAATTTTTGTTTTATCATCTCCACAGTTTTTGTCCTCTCTATATAATCACCTCCCTGTGTAATGACGGCATTACTTTTAACTTCTTACTGGCTGCTTTTTATTTTGTTTATTTATTTATTTTTGAGACAAAGTCTCATTCTTGCCTGGGTTAGAGTGCCGTGGCATCAGCCTAGCTCACAGCAACCTCAAACTCCTGGGCTCAAGTGATCCTCCTGCCTCAGCCTCCTGAGTAGCTGGGACTACAGGCATGCACCACCATGCCCGGCTCATTTTTTCTATATATTTTTAGTTGTCCAATTCATTTCTCTCTATTTATAGTAGAGACGGGGTCTCGCTCTTGCTCAGGCTGGTTTCGAACTCCTGACCTTGAGCGATCAGCCCGCCTCAGCCTCCCAGAGTGCTAGGATTACAGGCCTGCCCTTACTGGCTACTTTTATAACACAAAATAATTTTTTTTAACTTGTATTTCTTTTTTCCTTTAAGAGGTGGGGGTCTTGCTGTGTTGTCCAGGCTGGACTGAACTCCTGGGCTCAAGGGATCCTTCTGCCTCAGCCTCCTGAGTAGCTGGGACTAGAGGTGCCTGCCCACCACCCCCACACCGCCCCCTGCCAGCTAAACATGCATTACTTGTTGTGTTAAATATACACAGGCCTTTTTGTAAAGCCTGGCTGAGAAGCCTGCTTATAAAAATATATGTTGGCGAGGTGGCTCCCATGTGTAATCTCAGTGCTTTGAGAGGCAGATGTGGGAGGATCTCTTAAGCCCAGGAGGTCCAGGCTGCAGTAAGCTATATGCTATCACCACTGCACTCCGGCGTAGGTGACAGAGGGAGACCCTGTCTCTAAATAAATAAAAAATTAAATGTTTGTATTTATTGAAATGTTAATGATTTTATCCAACCAAATTATATATACATGGCTTACAAATCAAATTAGAAAAGTCTGCTTAATTTTTTTTTATAGTAAAATAATACAATCTCGGTGGATCACGCCTGTAATCCTAGCACTCTGGGAGGCCGAGGCAGGCGGATTCTCGAGGTCAGGAGTTCAAAACCAGCATGACAAGAGCGAGACCCGTCTCTACTAAAAAAAAAAATAGAAAGAAATTAATTGGCTAGCTAATATATATAGAGAAAATTAGCCGGGCATGGTGCTGCATGCCTGTAGTCCTAGCTACTGGGAGGCTGAGGCAGGAGATCGCTTGAGCCCAGGAGATTGAGGTTACTGTGAGCTAGGCTGATGCTATGGCACTCCTCTAGCCTGGGCAACAAAGTGAGACTCTGTCTAAAAATAATAATAATAATACAATCTCTTTAAGAAAAACCGAGAAGGCAATGTTTTAGATTAGAAGAGGTCAAGCAACCCGACCAGCCCTGGCAGTGTCTGAGCCCCCCGTGGGGACCTTCTTAGGAAGAAACAGCCACAAAAGACCTTCTGGTCCAACACAGGAAATTTTTCATGGAGTGGGTATTATTAGATAGCAGAATGGATTCCTCTCGGTGTTAAGTGGGGTCATCTTGTAGACTTATAAAAAGTCTTGTTCTTTCTTAGGCGATTCACGTGGAAGTATTTAAGAGTTCATCAAAAAGAGCAAAAGCATAAATATGGCAAAATGTGGAACATATAGAGATATTGATATGACTGTTCTTTCAACTTTCCTACTTTTTTTTTCTTTTTTTTTTTGGAGACAGAGTCTCACTCTGTTGCCCAGGCTAGAGTGAGTGCCGTGGTGTCAGCCTAGCTCACAGCAACCTCAAACTCCTGGGCTCAAGGGATCCTCCTGCCTCAGCCTCCCCAGTAGCTGGGACTACAGGCATGCGCCACCATGCCCGGCTAATTTTCTCTATATATTTTTAGTTGGCCAATTAGTTTCTTTCTATTTTTAGTAGAGACCGGGGTCTCGTTCTTGCTCAGGCTGTTCTCGAATTCCTGACCTCGAGCAATCCTCCTGCCTCGGCCTCCCAGAGTACTAGGATTACAGGCGTGAGCCACTGCGCCCGGCCTCAACTTTTCTATATGATGAAATTTTATATTAAAAACTGGGAGAAAATTAAGTAAGATGGTTTTGAAATGAGAAAAGAGATGTGCACTGTGGCACCAACTCTCTGCACGGGACCGCAGTCCTGGCTGCCACACAGAACAGAGGCAGGTCGTTGTTCTGGACTGGGCTTCAGCCAACCAGACCAAACCAAAATGGAGTCACTCATGGTAAATGCCACATAACCAAGCCGAAACTTTAAGGAAGCAGGCCTCCCAAAGAGGCCAGTTTTTCTAGAAAACAGGAGATTCCAGTGTGCTTGAGTCAGCATAAGAAAGAAAGGCGCGGTGGCTCACGCCTGTAACCCTAGCACTCTGGAAGGCCGAGGTGGGCGGATTGCTCGAGGTCAGGAGTTCAAAACCAGCCTGAGCAAGAGCAAGACCCCGTCTCTACTACAAATAGAAATTAATTGGCCAACTAATATACATAGAAAAAATGAGCCGGGCATGGTGGCGCATGCCTGTAGTCCCAGCTACTCGGGAGGCTGAGGCAGGAGGATCACTTGAGCCCAGGAGTGTGAGGTTGCTGTGAGCTAGGCTGACGCCAGGACACTCACTCTAGCCTGGACAACAAAGTGGGACTCTGTCTCAAAAAAAAAAAAAAAAAGGAAAGAAAGAAAGAAATCCCCTCTACTTTACCCCGTACAACAAAGCAACCTGGAGTAACCAGATATCAATCAATCAGGTTTGTTCTATTATGTGATTTGTTCCCAGGTTCCCAAATCTACTTGGCCGCCTCTGCGCAGTGGACGCTCTCACTCCATTGGTAGCACGGGGGCCGCCCATTCATGAATCTTGACCAAAATCCCGGCTACAGAGCTGTGCAACCGGCACCACAGTTTCCAAGCGTGTCTATCACCCCTAAAACATCCCTTGTGCCTATTTGTAGTCCCCCAGCCCAGGCAGCTACTCATCCATTTTCTGTATCTATAGATTGGTCTTTTCTGGACATTTCATAGAAGTTCACCATGTAGTATGTGCTCTTTTCTATCTGGCTTCTTTTCATGTAACACATTGCTTTGGGGTTCATTCATGTGACTTTGACCTCCATGCCAGACAAGCTGATGGACTTATAAATAGCAGCTAAATTTTTTTTTCTTTGAGGCAGTGTCTCACTCTCTCAGCCCGGCTAGAGTGCAGTGGCATCATTACAGCTCGTTGCGACCTCAATCTCCTGGGCTCAAGCGATCCTCCTGCCTCAGCCTCCCGAGTAGCTGGGACTGCAGGCATGCGCCACCACACCCGGCTAATTTTTCTATCTTTAGTAGAGACAAGGGTCTCTCTCATGCCCAGGCTGGTCTCAAACTCCTGGCTTTAAGTGATCCTCCCACCTCGGCCTCCCAGAGTGGTAGGATTACAGGCATGAACCGCCGCCCCCGGCTGCAGCTATTTATTAATGCAAGTATTAACCACCTGGAGCAAACCACAGCCTTGTCTCTCTGAACCCTGTCTCCAAAACCTCACCCTGTAGTAGGAGTAAAGATGACATCAACATTTTTTGCTATTTCCACAGACTGCTTGCCTGGTACAGGCTTTCTTTTTTTTTTTTTTTTTTTTTTTTCATCAACAAAACCTTAATCAATGTGTTGAAAAATTACAACAGCTGACATGAATTGAATGGAGCACTTACTGGGCGCAGGCAGATGGCAAGCATTAGATCATAGAAGCCTCTTAACCCAGGGCACTCTCAAAGTATTTTTTGCCCGTTAAACCAGATGATGAGATTCAATGAGAGGTTGTAGCCTAAATGCTCAGCACAGCGGCTTTATAAGGGCCAATAAATGTCACCAGATGAAACTATCATAGCTAAAATAGTTGCTGTCACTTTTTAATAATGGGTAATAATGCAACTACCATAATTTAATGTTTAATACTAAATTAATATCTTACTTGTGAGCCCCCAGGGGCTTTTCTTAAGTACTTTACAAATATTAGCTCATTTCACCCTCACAACAGCCCTGTGAAGTAAGCCCCATTAATATGCCCGTTTTGGCTGGGCGCGGTGGCTCATGCCTGTAATCCTAGCACTCTGGGAGGCCGAGGTGGGAGGATTGCTTGAGGTGAGGAGTTCGAAACCAGCCTGAGCGAGACCCCAACTCCACTAAAAATAGAAATTAATTGACCAACTAAAAATATATATACAAAAAATTAGCCGGGCATGGTGGCACATGCCTGTAGTCCCAGCTACTCGGGAGGCTGAGGCAGGAGGATCCCTTGAGCCCAGGAGTTTGAAGTTGCTGTGAGCTAGGCTGATGCCACGGCACTCACGATAGCCTGGGCAACAAAGTGAGACTCTGTCTCAAAAAAAAAAAAAATATATATATATATATATATATATATATCTCCCCATTTTCAGAAGAGGAAACTAAGGCACAAAGAGGTGAAGTGACTTGTCCTTAGTCATGTAAGTGTAGCTGGGACTTGAACCCAGGTGAGGCTGGATTTTGAGCAACCAAAATGCTCCAAAATCCAACATGATGCTCAAAGGAAATGTTCATGGGAGCATTTCGAATTTCAAGTTTTTAGATTAGGACTGCTCAACTGGTAAATGTAATGCAAATATTCCAAAATCAAAAGATGGAAAATCCAAAACACTTCTGGTCACAAACATTCCGGACAAGGGATATTCAGCCTGAACTGTGCTTTCCTTGCTAAGCTGTTCCGCCTTTGAGTGAAGTGAAATGAGTTTCTCACTAGGTCTTAAGCTAGCTGCCAGGTTCTCATTAAATAAGGGTGTTTCACCTCATTACATATCTGTGCATCGTCAGTTTCCTCATCAGTGAAGTGGGTTTTTTGTTTTGTTTTGTTTTTTGAGACAGTCTCACTCTTGCCCAGGCTAGAGTGAGTGCCGTGGCATCAGCCTAGCTCACAGCAACCTCAAACTCCTGAGCTCAAGCGATCCTCCTGCCTCAGCCTCCCGAGTAGCTGGGACTACAGGCATGCGCCACCATGCCCGGCTAAATTTTTTTCTATATATTTTTAGTTGGCCAATTAATTTCTTTCTATTTTTAATAAAGAGGGGGGGTCTCACTGTTGCTCTGAGTGGTTTCGAACTCCTGACCTCAAGCTATCCTCCTGCCTTGGCCTGCCAGAGTGCTAGGATTACAGGCGTGAGCCACCATGCCGGCCAGTGAAGAGGGTTTTTGATGTGATGCTTCATTCACTCATTCATTCATTCAACATCGCTTTATTGAATAGTCACTGTGTGTCAGGCACTGGTGCAGACATTGTGGCATGCTGTATGCCAAAGAAACCATTTCTAACCCTCAGATGACTACAATGTAGCTGGAGAGACAGACCATTAAGAAGAGAAATAGTACAGTATACATAGGTATTTGTGTGGTGTGTCTGATGGTGATAAAAACTCTAGAGAAGTATAAAGTAAGGAAGAGGGAAGAGAGAGTAGGTGGTGGTGGTGAGGCCCTGAAATTGTAAATAAGGTGGCCAGGGAAGGCCTCTTGGAAGAGTTGACATTTGAGCAAAGTCTTGAAGGAAGTACCAAAGTGAATGAAGAAATCATCTGGATCGAGGTGGAGGGAACAGCCAGTGCAAAGGCCCTGAGGCACGGAGGCCAGCGTGGCTGGTGCAGAGAGAGAGCGGGAGGAGAGAGGCGATGGAAGCAGGCTGTATGGGGCCCTGTGGCCTGCAGGGCAGACTTTGCCTTTACTTTGAGTGAGATGGAGCCGGGCAGGGCAGGACCTAACTCTGGTGTTCATACCTGACCCGGCCGGCTGCTTGTAGGAACAGACAGTGGAGGAAAGAAGCCAGGAGCAGGGTGTTTGGAGGTGAGGGGTGATGAGAATGGGTGAGTTCCGCAAGAGAGTGAGTGTCGATAGAAAATAGAGGCCATGCAAAGACCAATCTCACATTTGAGAGATCAGAGAGGAGGAAGTCTCTGAGGTTCCCCAGAGTCTGGCCAGGAGCCACCAGGGAGGGGGAGCCCAGAGGGGCGTGGTGTCCCAGGAGCCCCAGGTGAAAAGGGAGTTCCCATCAGATGCTGCTGACAGCTCAAGTAAGGTGAAGACTGAACAGTGGCTACTGGCTTAGCGCCGTGGAGGTCGCTGGTGACCTTGACCTTTCAGGAAGGGGAAGGCGGGCAAAGCATGAGCAGAAAGGGTGTAAGGGAGAATGGGCGGAGTTGGAACGGGTTGGGATGGGGTGGAAATGGTTTCCTCCGCCGTGGGTGTTTCTTGTGGTCTTCAGAGTGCTTCTGGCCCGGCCTATAAAGTACTGAGCCTGACGCGCGTGCGCGCCAGTCGGCAGCGGTGGTCTGAAGTCCGGATGGGGCCGGTCAGACCAGGGCTCGTTTACCCGACGGGAAACAGTGGGGAGAGGCGGAGGATCAGAGCGGGAACTGGGTCGGTCTTCACAGCCATGGCAGCCCCTGGCCCATGGACCTGGTGGGCTAAGCGGAGCCGCAGGAGCCTGGCGGCCTGGGCGGCGAGGCAGAGGGCGGCCTGGCTGTGCCGACCCGCCGGCCGACCGCCCCCTCTCGGCCCGCAGGACGCCGGCGGCTGGAGATGGGCGCCCGGTCCTCGCGGCGGCGGCCGCCGGCGGACCCGCCCATGGCCCTGGACGCGCTGCCCCCCGAGCTGCTGGTGCAGGTGCTGAGCCACGTGCCGCCGCGCGCCTTGGTGGCGCAGTGCCGCCTGGTGTGCCGCGCCTGGCGCGACGTGGTGGACGGGCCCACCGTGTGGCTGCTGCAGCTGGCCCGCGACCGCAGCGCCGAGGGCCGCGCACTCTACGCCGTGGCCCAGCGCTGCCTGCCCGACGGCGAGGACGACGAGGAGCTGCCGCTCTGCGCCCTGGCGCGCTACTGCCTGCGCGCGCCCTTCGGCCGCAACCTCATCTTCAACTCCTGCGGGGAGAGTGGGTGCTGGGGGCGGGGCCGGGCCGGGGGGCGGGGCCGGAGGGGGCGGGGCCGAGGAGACCGACGGGAGGCGTGGGACGCCCGCCACAGAGAGGCTGGGCGGTGGGCGTGGCCAGGGCAGGGCTGTGGGCAGAGCCTGAGAGAGAGATGTAGCCAATGGGCGAGGCAGCTGGCGGAGCTGGGGGCGGGGCCGAGAGGCGCGGTGCTGGGAAGGGGCCCGGGGGCGGGGCCAGGGTGGGAGGTGGCCGCGCTCAGGCGGGGTGTGGGGGCGTGGAATCTGGGCGGTGGGCGTGGCCAGGGCAAGGCTGTGGGCAGAGCCTGAGAGAGAGATGTAGCCAATGGGCGAGGCAGCTGGGGGCGGGGCCGAGAGGCGCGGTGCTGGGAAGGGGCCCGGGGGCGGGGCCAGGGTGGGAGGTGGCCGCGCTCAGGCGGGGTGTGGGGGCGTGGAATCTGGGCGGTGGGCGGGGCCAGGGCAAAAGTCGAGCAGCCCGAGATGCGGTAGGGAGGCAGGACGGAAGGGCGGGGCTGGGGTAAAGCAGAGTGGCTCGGCAGGGCCGAGTGACACGGCCGTGGGGTGGGACCCGGAATGCTGGATAGTGGATGGGGGCGTCAGAGTAGAAGAAGGGAGGTGGGGGTTGGAGCATGGGAGGGAGGGACTGGTGGGCGGGACACCTTGGGTGGTGGCTGGGTCTCCGCTGGGCCAGCTGGCAGTCATCTTTTCCACCCATTGTGTTCCACAGAGGGCTTCAAAGGCTGGGAGGTGGAGCACGGCGGGAACGGCTGGGCTGTGGAAAAGAACCTAACACTGGTGCCCGGGGCTCCTTCCCAGACCTGCTTCGTGACTTCTTTCGAGTGAGTGGCCCAAGTGAGTGGCCCCTGATCTCCGGGGCAAGTGCCTGGAGAGAGGGAGGGACCCTACCCACCGTCCTCATCCTCACCTTCACCTGCCTTCACCCTCTCTTTCTTTCATTCAAGCAGCAAACATTTGTCGAGGGCTTACCAGGTACCAGGCACTGTTTTACATGCCAGAAATACAAGGAAAAAATCAGGAAGAGTAGCAACCTGTTCTTGTTTCATTTGCATTTTAGATGTAGAGTGGAGGGAGACATTAAACAGAAGCAGTAAAATGACAACAATGCTACATGTTAGAGGGGTTACTCTGTGCTAGACAATTTACATATATTAGTAACTATCAGTTCTGGCAACAACCCTGTGACATAGGTACTACTATTGTCCCACTATATAACATCTCTTCATGTGCCTGTTAGCTTTTAAAATTTCCTCTTTTGTAAATTGCCTGTTCATATTTTCTATTAGGAGTGGTGTCTTTTTCTTGTTGACTTGCAAGTATTCCTTGTATATTCTAGATGTCCCTTGTCCATCTTGGAAATTCCAGAAATCTTCTACTTGCTATCCGTATTAACTATGTCCGTGTTGTTCTTTGTTTGGCAGAAATCTTTTGTTTTCATGCGATCAAATTCATCTTCCTCTCTTTGATTTTTTGTGTTAGAACTTGTGTTCTTGAAATTTTGTTCAAAAAAATCCTTCTCCACTCCTAGATCCTAGACCTAGTCTCTTATATACTCTCTTCTAGCAAACTCATAGCTTTATCGTACACATTTAGGCTTTTTTTTTTTTTTTTTTTTTTTTTTTTTTTGAGACAGAGTCTCGCTTTGTTGCCCAGGCTAGAGTGAGTGCCCTGGCATCAACCTAGCTCACAGCAACCTCAAACTCCTGGGCTCAAGTGATCCTCCTGCCTCAGCCTCCCAAGTAGCTGGGACTATAGTCATGCACCATCATGCCTGGCTGATTTTTTTCTATATATATTAGTTGGCCAATTAATTTCTTTCTATTTATAGTAGAGATGGGGTCTCGCTCTTGCTCAGGCTGGTTTCGAACTCCTGACCTTGAGAAATCCGCCCGCCTCGGCCTCCCAGAGTGCTAGGATTACAGGCGTGAGCCACCGCGCCCCGCCCACATTTAGGCTTTTAATCCACATTGAACAAGATGTTAGGAAGGATCTAGATGTCCCTCCTCCATGTATATTGAGCCAGTTTTCCCAACACCATCTCCTAAAGAATCCATCCCTATCCAATCCCCATAGAATGGGCTGCCACCTCTGCCATTTATGAAGTTCCCATACCTACCTAGGTCTGTTCCAGTCCCCTGGCCATCTTATTTGTCCTTCCACCAATACTGCACTATTTCTACTTTTATGGCATATTCAAATTAGGGGAGAGGGACTGTTTACATAGGCCTTTTAAAACAGTCCCTCTCCCTTAATTTGAATGTGCCATAAAAATAGAAATATAACGTCACTTCACAGCACAAAAAAAAAAAAAAAAAAGAAAAAAAAAAAATAGAAATAGTATTGGTGGAAGGACAAATAAGATGGCTAGGGGAATAGAACAGACCTAGGTAGGGTCCTGGCCTAATAGTAGTGGGGGAAAAGGCATTACGATTCACCAAGGGGTGGGGGTAGGAAGCAGTTACTGAAACAGGAAGACAGAGAAGGCTATAAGGAAGTCCCAGAACTCCCTGCTCAGGTGCCTAGTGTGTAGCCTCCATTTGTACTCATGTCCTGGTCCCCATGAATATTAGGGGCAGGCTGGAGAGTGGTGGAGGGACCTGAGAGGCCAGGGAGAGATGTATAGGCCATCACGTGTCCTCATGTCTGGTAGGCAGACCCTGAGGGCTGCTTTAGAAAGGGTTATCCGGGAAGGCTTCTTGGAGGAGGTGGTTTCTGGCACTTGAGTGCCAGGACTGACTGCCCCACCCCCTGCCATCTCTCCTCTTCCCAGATGGTGCTTCAAGAGGCAGCTTGTGGACCTGGTGATGGAGGGGGTATGGCAGGAGCTGCTCGACAGCGCCCAGATTGAGATCTGTGTGGCCGACTGGTGAGTGACGAGTGGTGTGACCTGCCCCAGAACACTAGCAGTAGTGGCATCGGTTCTGCAGCAGGGACTCATTTCCAGCCTTATCTACCCCATGGGTAGCTGCAGTGAGCCAGAGAGGAAGTGATGCTCTCATAGTTCAGAGTCAGGGAGGGGCCTTGGTGAGCCCAGACCCCTGACTCTGCACGCCTCCCCACTCTGCACGCCTCCCCACCCTCTTCCCAGCAGGTCCCCAAGGTCGTCCACATGGGGCCCTTGAAATGGCTTCATACAGTTCTGAAACTAGACACCCCTCCTCACCCCCAACTCAGCACTGACCCTAAGGGTTTGTGGGTGCCCCAAGGCCTCCAAAGGATTGGGAGCACTGTGCCTTGAGAACTGAGGCTCAGTGGGGGCACAGTTGGGACAGGGGCACTGGCCACTTCAGAGCCTGAGGGCTTAGGCTCTTGAACTCCCTCCTTCCCAGAGCACCCGGTTCCTCCCTATAGCATTCAGGCTCTTGCTCCTCCACAGAAAATCCAGTCTTTCCTGGGGCTCCTCCCCAAGGTCACCAGGCTCCTGCCCTGGGTAGTGGTTCCTCCCCAGAGCATCATCCCCCGCCCCCAACTAGTCTCCAAAATCCACCCAGGGACCACCCAGGCTCCTCCCCCAGGACCTGGCCCCACCCCAGACTACCGAGGCTCCTCCCCCAGGATCACTCAGGCCCCTCCCCCAGAGGTTCCCAGGCCGGGACCTCTCCAAACGCGGGGCAGGTGTGCAGGACCCTCATGGAGGTACAGGGAGGCCCAACCCTCAGCCTCCCGCCCCCCCCAACCCAGAGAGCTGGCGGAGTGGCGGGGCTTGGAGGCTCACTGCCGCCTGGCAGGTGGGGCGCCCGAGAGAACTGCGGCTGCGTCTACCGGCTCCGGGTCCGCCTCCTGGACATGTACGAAAACGAAGTGGTCAAGTTCTCGGCGTCACCCAACCCGGTCCTTCAGTGGACTGAGAGGGGCTGCCGACAGGTGGGTCCACACCGCCTTCCAGCTCAGCCCTGACCCGCTCCAAGGCACGCACACCCCACCTCTCACCTGCTCAGTTTCCCTTCTCAGCTCCTAACCCGCTAGATATCGATAATAACAACAGCTAAAAGTCATTGAGCCCTTGTTACACAGGCCCCACAAGCATGTGCCCATTACCTCCCTGACCCCATCTCCCTGCACTCTGTCCCAGGCATGCTCCCACCAGAGAGCCTTTGCACCGGCTGTCCCCCCTGTCTGGAACACTCTCCCTCCAGAGCCCCACATGGCTCCCTCCTTTCCTTCAGGTCTTCGCTGAAACCTCAGCTCAGTGGAGCCTCTGCTTACTCACCCATTTCTGCTACCCTCCTGGTGGGATGTCCTTTGCCCCTTACCCACATCCTGCCTCCGTGCGTGGGCCCTGCCAGAATGTCCTCTTTACCAGGGCAGGGTGTTTTGCCGCTTTGTCGCTGCTGCCGTCCCCAGCACCTAGGGCCGGGCCTGGCGCAACTCGGTCCTTGGGGAGTATCTGTCGCAGCGAAGGAAGAGGAGGCGCCCACAGGTCCTCACCCTCTCGCGCCCCCTCCGCAGGTCTCCCACGTCTTCACCAACTTCGGCAAGGGCATCCGCTACGTGTCTTTTGAGCAGTACGGGAGAGACACGCGTTCTTGGGTGGGGCACTACGGCGCGCTTGTGACCCACTCCAGCGTGAGGGTCAGGATCCGTCTGTCCTAGCGACCGGCCAGATCAGGCCTTCCAGGACGCACTGCCATCTGCCAGATCTTGTCATTCAAGAGCGGCCTTCCGGCAGGGAATCAGAGGATGCCCAGGGACAGCGGGCATCCCACGTGGCCTGTTCTCAGCACACCTGCCAGGACCCCACTTGCTGCTGCTTCAGTATGGTGGTGCTCACGCCATGTGACAAACGAGGGATCCAGCCAGGCTGTTCACAGCTTCCTCAGCTCCCCAGGTGGGCGGGTCAAGAAATAACTCAGAGACATGTAGTTAGTGGCTTGCTTGCAAATTGTCTCCTCCCACGTGGTCCTCAGTCGGTACTTGGAGTCAAGAAACAAAAGCCAGCCCAGATTTACAGTAGAGGCGACAGCTGCCGACAGGGGGCGCAGTGACTCTTGCCGGTTTGTTTGGGGGCAAGCTGATGGCTGGCAGGGAGCAGAGGCCAGTTGGGGCAGTCTGTCTCTGGACAGGGACATGAAAGGAAGCCTTTTCTGTCGTTTGGGGGAGTCTGGGATGCCGCTGGGGGGCTGTGTGGCGGCCAACCCCATGCGACAGCACCTGCACTGCCCACCAGCTCCTTCTCCCCTGGTGCTGCTTCTCCCATCAGAATTCTGAGTCCAGGCCCCCCACCCCCTGCCAGGGAACACCTCCTTTCCTCTAGAACCTTCTAGCGTACAGACCTCTGGAGCAAGGAGTGCCACAACGGAAAGCTCCTTGAGTCTCCGCCCCTCCTCCACTCTCACCTGCTGGCGTTTCTCCTGGTTTCCCAGCTGGGCATGGCCAAGAAACTGGCTCAATAAAATTGGTGCTAAATACGAGGAGATGGGTGACTTTTGCGATCGATGCATTTGTCTGCCTCCAGCGCTGGTCCCATTAGACCTTGTGGTCTCACGTTGGCAGTCATGAGAATTTCAGGAGGGAGTGCTGAGCGCTGTGCAGGAAACGGCTTCCAGAAGCGAGACAGCTATGGTGCACGGTTCTCAGTGGTCCCTCAGCTCCTCGCAGGCAGGCACTTGTACCAATGCCACTTAGTCAAGGCTCAGAGCCCAAGTGACCAGTCCAAGATCACCCAGCAGTAAGGAGGCGAGGAGGGTCTTGGTCCGGAGCCGAATGATATAAGCTCAGCTCCCACATCTTAAAATCTAACGTGATCGTGTGAGGTCAGTATTGCTATCAATGCCATTTTCCAAGGGAGGAAACTGAGGCCCAGAGGGGGAACCAATACAGCCAGGCCACGGAGCAATTAAGAGGTCGAGCCAGGATTTGAACCTGGGTGTGTGTGAGTCTGATAACAGCACACCCCATTTGATCCTTTCAACACCCCTTCAATATCAACATTACAACTGCCACCATTCCTCAGATGACCAAGCTTAAGGGCAGGACTGACGTGCCCAGCCCTCACAGCCTACAGGACAGGGAACTGGGCCTCAGTGTCGCCCAACTGCAAAGCCTAAAATAGAGCCTCTAATTTAATCTTCACCAAACAGAACAAAGGAGATACTGCCAATGGAGCTGTTTTCTGCAGGCGGAACTGAAGACCAAAGGGGGTGTCAGCTGCCACAACCACACTGAGGGCAAACACTGGGGACAATCACATCAACTGTAGGGATCTGTGTTTATTACAACCCCTTCCCAGCAGACGACAGTACAGCCTCTTGTCCCAGCAGAAGAGGCCCCTCATGTCAACACTCTAAACCCAGAAGCCAAGGGTGTGGGCAGAAAGGCGCATTTTTCACCTCCAGGCCTCCTATGGGCTAATGGTGGCCGTGACGGAGCAGGCAGAGCCAGGACTTGATCCAGGCGTGGCTGCCTCTAGAGCCAAGAGATCCAGCTTGCAAGGACCCTGCTGGAGCCCGGAGAGAAAGGTTCTTGTCCTGTAGGGGTACCCCAGCCACTGTGCCCCCAGCAGTCACTTCCTCTTCTGCACGTGGCCACAGTCGTACTTGCCACGCACAACAGTGAGCTTGACACCCGGCAGGTCCTGGGTGCGGCCACCCTGCACAAGGACGACGTGGTGCTCCTGCAGGCTGTGGCCCTCCCCGGGGATAAAGCAGACAGCCTCGCGGCCCGTGCTGAGCCGCACGCGGCAGCACTTGCGGTTGGCCGAGTTGGGCTTCTTGGGCTTGCGGATGAACGTGCGCAGAACCACGCCCTTCAGCTGTGGCCGGCCCTCTGTGGGGCCCAGCTTCGGAGGCGGCCGCTTGGGACGCCCCAGGCGATGCATCTGGTTCAGGGTAGCCATGGAGCGGGTGGCCCAGAGCCGGGCAGCCAGGGGTAGGGCTGGAAAGACAAAACCGGGAGGGTGGAAGGGCGTTATCCCAGCAAACAGGTGATAGTACTACCAAGTCACTTCCGGTGTTCTAGGCATTGTTCCAATACATCGAGGGGTATTTGCAGACAATAGTAATAACAGCTAACATTTATTGAGCAGCCACGTGTCAGGTTTTGTTTGAAGCATTTTACATGAATTAATACATTTTATTCTTCAAGGAAGGCGTTAATTTTAATGGTGTTAAAAATAATAATGAAAGTGAACAGGAGCACTCACGCGGCATTGAGTGACATTCTATGCATTGAACATATATCAACTCCTGCCATCCCCATGGCAACCTTGTGCAGTGCTCCTGGGAGGAGTCACTCCCTCTCAAACCCACATCCAATCTGTGAGCAGATCTTGTCAGCTCAACCTTCAGTGTTAATCAGAATCCACCTCCTCTCCTTCTGTCCCTCTGCCACTCTGCCCACCTTAGTCCTGTCCCCATCCTTGTCTCTTGCTCGGCTATCGCACCCTCCTCCTCCCATGTCTCCCTGCTTCTGCAGTCTGTCCCCCTTACATGCAACTGAGTCAGGTCACGTCCCTCCCCTGCTCAGAACCCTTGCAGGGCTCCCCACACTCAGAGTGAGGAATAAAGCTGTCCCATGGCCTACAGGGCCCCACCTGATCTGCCCCTGTTACTTCCCTGACCTCAGCTCCCCCCTCGCCCCCTTGCTCACCTTGTGACCCCAAAAACACCAACAGAAAAGACATCAGTGTGCTGCAGCATACTGAGAGGAAAGGCAGATTGGGGGTGTGGGGGAGGGAGATAGATCTTCAAGGCAGACCAAGAGGATTTGTTCATGGAGTGGATGTTGGGTGTAAGAAGATTATCTGTAACAAACAGCCATTGAGCATGTACTGTGTCTTGGCCCCAGTAATGGAGACAAAGCAGCGATGAGGCAGCCCTGGGTCCTGCCCAAGCTCTTGGGCTTTGAGCTTATAGTGTCATCCATCTATCTCCTTCCTACTTGTCTCTGTCACTAGCATGGATGATCTTTCAGCACCCCAACTTCACGCTCCCCTCCACATCCAGGGCAGGCCCTGCCCTGTTGTCCATTCCCATTTCTCTTTTCACCTAGAGTTACAGCAGAATTCTCAAAACACATGAGACATTCCTAGAAGTCTGTCTCTGCCTTGAACATGACTCTTGGCCTCTCAGTGCCTCAGTTTCCTCTTCTGCATCAGAGGCATCATGCTCTTATCTCCTTCTTGAGCGCCATCTGTGAGGCTACCATGAAATACTGCACGTCAAGCTAGTCCTGACTCCTGTCTTGCCCATTCTTGTGATCCTTGGTGACTGGCAATTAGAAGGTGCTTAATAAAGGTTTGCAGAATCAAAGATTGAAATACCTCACACAGGGCATGGCTGTGAGAAGACTCTGATGTCTGAAAGAGTAAGCATAACTAAAGCTGCCCTTCAATGCCTGACACATACACGGCTCCTGAAAAATATCAGCTGAATGAATGACCAGAATGCCTTGCTGGGATGTCTCATCCACGAGAGTTATTTAATAAGCACTTGCTAAGGAAATAAATAACTGACCCAAACTCCGCTTGAATCACAAAGGCCCTCAATGCATCTACTTCCCACCTCATGATCTTGCAGCTTGACTTCTGCCAAAAACCCACCGTGTATCCGGATTTAAAAGCCCCGATTCCCTCGCAGCTTCGGCAGAGGCACACAAGTCCCAGAGGGGATAACCCTCATCCAGCCTCGTCCCTGAATCCCAAGTCCCCGACTTACCACCACTAAGGGTCGTGTTGAGGCCACGGAGAAGGCCAGACCAGGACATCCCGCCTCCTGGAGCGTCCCGATGCTAGGGGATAAGAGATTCAGAAAGGAAGAGAAAAAAGTGGCCGTGGTCAGTCGAGGATCTAAATTCTCTCCGTCCCTCTCTCAGATCCTTCTGGGTTAAATCAAGGAAGTTCCTCTCTACAGGTCTAACCACAGCCCCTCATGCTGCTCACAGAAAGTCCCTCTGTAAATTTAGCCTCGCTCTGAGCAGGCTCCCGGGAACCCAACTGCCTTCGCCCGCATACGGGAGGAAAGAAGAAACCAGGCAAGGGGCAGGGAGGTTTGGAGGACCCAAGCACCCCACCGACCTCACTGACCGTAGCGGTCAGATCGCAGACACGCCAAATCCCGCCTCTATCCACTTCCGGGGATTAACCGAGCAGGAATTGGCTGGCTCCGCCTTTACGTCACGGAGGGGGCGGGACACAGACGACGATTGGGCAACGACAGAGTCTATCTCGGTCAACTTTTCTCATTGAACTGCTTTTGAGCCCAGGAAGGGCATACCCCTTCCAGGGGACGACTGCTTTGCGATTGGTCTAAACGCGAAGTGGGCGGGGCGAGAGGTGCGCGCTTTCTTGTCCGCGGTCCAACATGGCTGCGTCCATGGCGCGGCGCTTGTGGCCTTTGCTGGCTCGTCGGGGACTCCGGCCCCGGGGAGGCTGCGTCTGCAACCAGAGCCCCAGGAGAAGTTTCGCTACAGAGAGACGAAGCCAGAACCTCCTGTACGAGCACGCGCGCGAGGGCTACAGCGCACTGCCTCACCTGGACATGGAGCTGCTATGCGCATGCCCAGAAGAGGCCGCGCGCGCCCTGGAGCTCCGCAAGGGGGAGCTGCGGCCCGCCGACCTGCCCGCGATCGTGAGTGCGCGTGCGCGGGCCGGGACCGGGCGCGGGCTGCTTGATTTACGGGAAAACTGAATTTGCAAAATGTGCTCCAGCAGAGGGCGAACTTATTGCAGGAATTTTAGTTCCTATGTTAAGCCAACGTCTGGTGCAAGGCTCCCATTTATCTGCCAGTTGTCTCCTGAGTGCTAAGGTCCTACTATATGCCAGGACTCTCTCCCGTGTCCTAGACATCCGCTATGCGCCCGTTTCATAGTGCTCGCTGGGCACTTACTGTGCTCTAGGAACTTGCTAGACTGTAAGCCATTGCCCTCTGTGCTCCAACCACAGTTTGTTAGAGTGCTAGTTTAGAGACTCTAAATTAATTTATAACCCACTGCCTTAATCTATTCAGGCTGCTAAAACAGAATATCGTAGACTGGGCGGCTTATAAGCAACAGAAATTTATTTCTCACAGTTCTGGAGGCTGGAAGTCCCAGATCAAGGTGCTGGTGAATCTGGCTTCTGGTGGGGACCGGCTTTCTAGTTCCTAGTCTATCTTCTCACTATATCCTCACATGGTGGAAGGGGGAGGGAGCTCTCTAGGGTCTCTTTTATAAGGACACTAATCCCATTCATGGGGGCTCCACCCTGATGACCTAATCATGTCCCAAAGGCTCTGCCTCCTAATGCCATCACCTTGTGGGAGGTGAGGATTTCAACGTATGAATTGGAGGGGGACACAAACACTCAGTCCACAGCACTCACCAATGGCTCGTAGCCCAATCCTTGGCATTCACTTCTATAGGTTTCAGCTCTCCTCAGGGCCAATGTCCAGTCCAAGAAGAGTGAGAAAGAAAGTCCAGGATGGGGGCTTATCTTTTTGGAGGTGACCCAAGAGACACAGTCACACCTAACCACCTCCAGTCCTGTCCATTGGTCGGTCTTGGTCACATGAGCGCAGGTAGCTGCAAGGGAGGCTGGGAAATGTGTCTGAACTCTGGGCAGCAGTGTGCCCAGCTAAACTTCAGGGAGTTCTAGTGCTGAAGGGAAGGAGGAAGAGAATGGCCACGGGGGGCCAGCAAGGGGTCTCTACCTCACCCGGCCCGAGGTCCAGGTGACCTGTGGGTGAGGCTCCAGTAAGAAGGTAGGAGTGGTGCCAGCTTCACATCTTTCCTTCCTGTGTCCTCCCCCAGATCTCGACATGGCAGGAGCTGAGGGAGCTGCGGGAACAGATCCGGAGCCTGGAGGAAGAGAAGGGGGCTGTGAGCGAGGCAGTGCGGGCCCTGGTGGTGAGCACGGGGGTCCTATGTGTGGGGAGTGGTAGCGAGGAGGCGTCGTGTGCAGGTAACAGAAAACCCGATTTAAGGAGCTTGAGGCCGGGCGCGGTGGCTCACGCTTGTAATCCTAGCACTCTGGGAGGCCGAGCCCGGAGGATTGCTCGAGGTCAGGAGTTCGAAACCAGCCTGAGCAAGAACAAGACCCCGTCTCTACTAAACATAGGAAGAAATTAATTGACCAACTAAAAATATATATACAAAAAAAAATTAGCCGGGCGTGGTGGCGCATGCCTGCAGTCCCAGCTACTCGGGAGGCTGAGGCAGGAGGATCGCTTGAGCCCAGGAGATTGAGGTTGCTGTGAGCTAGGCTGATGCCACGGCACTCACTCTAGCCTGGGCAACAAAGTGAGACTCTGTCTCAAAAAAAAAAAAAAAGGAGTTTGAACAATATGGACGTGTACTGGCTCACAGAACAAGCCGGCCACGGCCCCAGCATTCCCAGGGGTGATTAAGTACCAGCTCTCCCCAGCTTCCCCAAGCTGGGCTCTTTCCTGCTGTCTACACCAGCGACTTCACTGCACTGCTCTGACCTCAGTTTCCCCTGTCACAGTTTCAAGACGGCTGCATCTCCTTGCTCGACTCTGTCAGAGGCAGAAAACAGGGACTTCTCTGGCTTGAGTGTCTTTTTCAAGAGCAGGGAGAAGCAAGGAGACCCTTCCTTAAGTGTCCAGCAGTCTCCTCGTGTCTCCTGGGCCCAGACGCCCCACCCCACGCTGGTCATCAGCAAGAGGAGTGGAGTCACTGCAGCTGGCTTTGGGCCACTCAAAGGCCACCCTCACGCCCCAGGGCCCAGTTTCCCTGAATGACAGGCTGCCTGGGAAGGGAGAACAGAGCCAGGTTCTGCGGAGCAGGAGGAAGGAGGGAGCTTGTGGGTTCAACAACCAACAGCATCTGCCCTGGAGGGTTTAAAAACAATCATAAAAACAATAACTGACATTTATGTAGCAGTTGCTGTGTGTCATGTTCCTGATCCTTGCAACAATATTGTGACACAGCATCAATACAAACACTGTCTTACATGCAGCTGGGGAAACTGAGGCCCCAAGAGGTTAAAACATGCTCAAGTCTCACAGCCAGGAAGTGGGTAAGGCAGGAAACACACCCAGGCTTTTGGGTTGCTCTTTCTCCGCTCTGCTCGAAGGCCTCCCTGCTAATAATTGCGTCTCCCAGTCACATACTGTGTGCCACACCCAGGCCATCGTCATCACAGGCCGCCACGAGAAGCAGTGCAATCGCTCAGTTAACGTTCAGTGAGCGCTCACTCATCTCGGGGAGGCGACGCAACAGCCCTGCCAGGGAGGTCCTGGTATCATCCCACTTCCCAGGTGGGCACACTGAGGCTCAGAGAGGGACAGAGATTTGCCCAAGGACACACAGCCAGTAGATGGCCAGCACTTAGATCTGCCCAATTCTCCCTGCTGCCCAGGATCATAGAAGGTTCAGAACGTCAAAAACCCTTGTTTGCAGGCCTCCAAACACACGCTCACAGACTGCTTCCCCCAGCCTCAGTTTTCTCATCTGCAAACAGGGTTCACATTCATGCCAAGCTCAGAGTAGGTTGTGAAGAAATGAGGTCATATGCGGGCCCTCCACACAGACCCTGGCACAGAGGTGGCTCTTAATAAACAGAGCTGCAGGTGTGGTTACTGTTATGTCATCTCACCTCCTAGCTCTGCCGACAGAGAAACTGAGGCACAGAGTGGTGGAGGGGCATAGCAAGGCACTGGTGGAGCAGGACATGCAGATCCCTGGCTCTTTTGTCCTCTTTCCCATGCTCAACTTTATCATCCTAATCACCCCGCTGTCTCTTTTCTCCCAGGCAAACCAGGACAACAGCCAAGTGCAGCAGGTACTACGGGGGGTGGTGTCCTGTTGGGGGTTGGGGGTGGGCAGGGATGATATCCTGTCAGCCCTGATTCCCCTAGTGTAGGTGACAGAAAACACAACTCAAATAGGTTTAAGGGAAAAAAAAAACAAACAGGCTGTATCATATTAATTCATGAAACTAAAAAGCTGGCTTCAGGTACGGCGGGATCCAGGTCCTGGCTCCATGTCTGGGGCTGCTCCCCTCCCATTCCCAGACCCGCTCCCTCCCCTCGTGGAAGGAAACAGCAGAACCGAGCACACTTTGATAGCTCCAGCCCGACTTGGGGCCAAGTCTCACAAGCACAGCCTGGGTCATGTGCCTGACTCTGAGCCCATCACTGTGGCCAAGGCAGTAGAATGTTCCCGTTGGCCAGGCCTGAGTCTTGTCCCCATGAACCTGCCATGTGGGGGTCAGGGAGGTTCCCGAAAGGAAATGCAGGATGCCGGGCCAAAAGAGGAGGCAGCAGTTGTCCATCCCAGAGGCTCGGGCAGCAAGGATCAAGGTCAGACTGGTCGAAGGACCCCTGAGCCTCTCCCTCCCCCGGCTGACCCGCTCATCCCACCGCCAGGACCCCCAGTATCAGGGTCTGCGGGCACGTGGCCGAGAGATCCGGAAGCAGCTTGTCCTCCTGTACCCCAGGGAGACCCAGCTCGAGGAACAGTTCTACCAGCAGGCGCTGAGGCTGCCCAACCAGACCCACCCGGACGTGGTGAGAGCCGCGCGGGGTGGCGGGAGACCGGGGCCGCCTAGGGCTGCCTTCCCCTGACGCCTGCCCTCTCCCTGCAGCCCGTCGGGGACGAGAGCCAGGCCCGAGTGCTCCACGTGGTCGGAGACAAGCCAGGTGGGCCACAGCCCAGGGCCTGGGACCCCGTGTCGGGCTGGGCTGCACGTGTGTGTGTGTGTGTGTGTGTGTGTGTGTGTGTGTGTGTGTGTGTGTCTTTGACCCCCTTGCTTTGGTCCCTGTCCCTCTTGGGCTTTTCCTCCCTGACTGTGCATGTCCCCCTCTCGCTCTGATTCCTGGTCTCCCTCGCTAGTAGCGTTTCCTTCTCTTCCCATCTCTCTTCCTCTCCTCGCCTAATCTGTCTTCCTGTCTCTGTCCTGTTCCATCTCTGCCTCTACCCTACCCTCTCTCCCTCCCTCTCCCTCTCTCTCTCCTGTTTCCCCCTTCCCTGTCCTTCTTTCCCTTTCTTTCTTCCTGCTTCCCCTCTCCCCGCCTCTGTCTTCTGTCTCTCCTTCCTGCTGTGTGTGTGTGTGTCTCTCTCTGTCCCATGTCTCTCTCTTCCCCTCTTACCCTGTTGCTTTTCACCCACACCCAGTCTTCTCCTTCCAACCCCGGGGCCACCTGGAAATTGGCGAGAAGCTTGACATCATCCGGCAGAAGTGAGCCCCCTGCCCCGCCACCCCCGCCCGACAGCTGGCAGCCGCTCCTGCCCCTTCGGCCCCACACGGGATGTGGCGATGCCAGGGCCGCACCTGGCATGAATGTTTGATGCCCCGGCCCGCCTGGCAGCTGGGCCTCTGCCCCGGGGTTCTCGCGTCCCCTTTTCCCCCACCAGCCCTGGTCCATGTGTTTATGTCTGTCTGTCTGTCTGTCTGTCTCCCAGGCGCCTGTCCCACGTGTCTGGCCACCGCTCCTATTACCTGCGTGGGGCTGGGGCCCTCCTGCAGCACGGCCTGGTCAACTTCACACTCAACAAGCTCGTCCAGCGGGTATGGGCCAGGGCGGGAGGGCTACCTGGAGGCGGTGGCATTGAAGCTGGGCTCAGAGGGCTCAAACTGGGGGTTGGAGTGTGACTTCTATTCTAGTCACTGTTCCCAAGCTTTACGTGTAGTATTGATAGATTTAATTCTTATGACAACTTCATGAGATGGAGCTAGTACTATCCCCACTGGGGATGGGGGAATTGAGGCCGGGAGGGGGGGGGAATTAGCCCAGGCCTCACAGCTAGTCTGTGAGGTGCGGAGCTGGCCCTAGAGCCTGCGCTCGCACCACTGTACCCACTGCCCGCCTGTATAAAGGGAGCATTTGGGTAACGGGCATCCATTGAAACTGGAAGGTTCGGCAGGAGTTGATAGCACGGGGCATCGACCATTTCCTGAGGTCACTAGGGAGCCATGGGAGGCTTTAAGCAGGGAGGGGACGGTCAGATCTGCACTGTGAACTACAGCCCTGGCTTCGCTGTGTGGGGTGAACGTGCTCCTCGCTCTTCCCTGCCCGCACAGGGCTTCACCCCCATGACGGTGCCAGACCTTCTCCGAGGAGCTGTGTTCGTGAGTGAGGCCCCCCTCCCCGAGTCCGCCTGGGGGAAGACCCTGTCCTGGGGGCCCGGGGCAGGGAGACACTGCTTCCCCTGCCCCAGGCTGGGTCCAGGGGCCATAACGGGGAGGCCAGGCACTGACCCCTGTGGCCTGGCCGCCTCCCCCAGGAAGGCTGCGGGATGACACCAAACGCCAACCCATCCCAGATTTACAACATTGACCCCTCCCGCTTCGAAGACCTCAACCTGGCTGGGACGGCAGAGGTGGGCCTTGCAGGTGAGCTCCTACCGGCGTGGGGCGGAGAACAGGAGGGACTGTGGGGGCCGACTGGGAGCGTCCTGTGGGGGGAGTGGCTACCTGCCCAGGACAGCTCAGCAGCGCCAGGGCCAGCATGTACAGTTGTGCAGGTTGTTCACTGTACAACAGAACAGTGGCAGTCCGGCCAGGTGCCCCGACCAGGGGCTGCACTCACTAGAGGGGACGCCTCTCTGTTCTCACGATGGCAGCCCCGGCTGACCCTGTTGCCTGCCCCTTGTGTTCCTAGGCTACTTCAGGGACCACTCCGTGGCCTTCAGAGACCTGCCAATCAGGTGACACCCAGTTTCCTTAGGCCTCGTCCCCACTTGTGGTGTCCACTCTCCCCTCCCTGACCCCGTGTCGCCTGCCCTCCGCCAGGATGGTCTGTGCCAGCACCTGCTACCGGGCGGAGACGGACACAGGGAAGGAGCCGTGGGGGCTGTACCGGGTACACCACTTCACCAAGGTCGGTGCAGCTGGGCGGGGGCGGGTCACCCCGGCGGCTCGGAGCCTCCTGACGCCTGTGCCCTGCCCCGCCCAGGTGGAGATGTTTGGGGTGACGGGCCCGGGTCTGGAGCAGAGCTCGCGGCTGCTGGAGGAGTTCGTGTCCCTTCAGATGGAGATCTTGGCGGAGCTGGGCCTGCACTTCCGGTGTGGAGGGGGGCAGCGCGGGGGGCCAGGGGAACGAGGGCCCGGCCAGGTGCTCCCCACCCAGATCGACCTCACCACCTGCTCCTTCTCTACCCGCTTTCTCCTGCGCGCGGACCAGAGGAGGGAACACAGGCTATCTCCTGTCTGTCGTCCTCTGTGGGACTAATAGACACGTCAGCAGCCTGGGGGGACCCAGGCCCCGTCCCTCCCGCTGCCCCCACGCCTAGGCCGCCGCCCCGTCTGCAGGGTGGGAAAGGGAAGGCACGGGCCTTGCAAGCCCGGCTTCCTTCTCACCTCGACGGTCCCGCGTAGCTTTTAAGGGAGGCTGGGAAACGTGGACTTCTTTTCTGGGTGACCCATTGCAAAAAAAATGGGGGGTGCTGCTGTTATAGGTGAGAACGGCCATTGCGAACGGCCCACAGACTCTGCCACGTGCCTCTTACCCCCCGTCAGCCCCTCGGCCTCCTCCCCCAGTACCGCCTTCTCCGTCACTGTCCCCGCCACCTCTTCCCTTTGCCACTGTCATCGCCTCCCTTTTTACTGCCATTTTCCTCTTTATTTGGTGACCTTCTCTTCCACCACCTCTGTTTCTTCCTCCTCCTCTTCCACCTCGTTCCTCTCGCCCGCTGACCTTGGCCGTGCCCTCGTCCTTGGCCGCAGGGTGCTGGACATGCCCACTCAGGAGCTGGGCCTGCCCGCCTACCGCAAGTTCGACATCGAGGCCTGGATGCCAGGCCGAGGCCGCTTTGGAGAGGTGAGCCCTGCCCCGGGGGGACGCGGGATGGGACACGGGCCTGCCCCCCACCGCTGATCCTCGTGACCCCCCCCCCGCCCCCACCCAGGTCACCAGCGCTTCCAACTGCACAGACTTCCAGAGCCGCCGCCTCTACATCATGTTCCGGACGGAGGCCGGGGAGCTGCAGTTCGCCCACACGGTGAGGCCCGCGCAACCCCTGCCCCCTGCCCCGCCTCCCCTCCCCTAGACCCAGCCCCGGTGCCCGCCCGGCTCAGCAACCGGTTCCGAGCTCGCCTCCCTCGCAGGTGAACGCCACGGCCTGCGCCGTCCCTCGCCTCCTCATCGCCCTCCTGGAGAGCAATCAGCAAAAGGTGAGGGGTCGAAGGGCCCCGCCCAGAGGTACAGGGGACGGGGGCAGTGGCAGTGTCCTGAGGCCTGCTCTGTCCCCAGGACGGCTCGGTCCTCGTGCCCCCCGCCCTCCAGCCCTACCTCGGCACCGATCGGATCACGGCCCCCACGCACGCGCCTCTCCAGTACATCGGCCCCAACCAGCCCCAGAAGCCCAGGCTCCCTGGCCAGCCCGCCGCCAGCTGAGAACCCGGCCACAGCGGCCAACGGGTGCCACCACGTCCTGGAGCTTAGGAGACCCTGGATACCTGGGACCCATTTTCCTGAGCCCCCCCTCGGCATCTGGTTTCCTCACGTCACCTCCACACCTGGACCCCTGGACTCCAGGGTCCACCTCTCCTGCTTCCCTGCTGCCTCAGGATCAGTCGCTGACTGGTGCTGTCACTGGGGGTCCCAGTGATGCAGGACACACCTGGGGACTTGAAGGTTCCGGGGATGGGAGAAGGAGAGGAAGAGGCCTGCAGCCCTCCTTCCTTCTTCCCTCCCTCAGCGCTAAGCAGAAAGTCTCCAATAAATGGTGACAACAAAGGCCTTTGTGGATCCAGGAGCAAGGGAGATGGCCCTGCCCAGCTTCACAGGAGGTGCCGGGCAGCCGCTCTAAGTCACCAACGGGTCTGTGGCTGGAAGTGTCCAGCAACACCCAGCACACGTGGAGCGTGGCTTCGGGGCCACCAGGGGAGCTGAGAGCATGCTGAGTCCTCTCCCTTTCCTCTGGGGCAAGCCAGGGCAGAGTCACCCTCCAGTGGCTCCCTCTAACTGACCCTCGGCCCCAGCTGGTCGCACAGCTGTCCCCTCGGCAGCTCCAGCCGGGGCCCAGTGGGCGTCTCAAACTCAGGGCAGCCGACCGGCTCTTCCCCCGGTTTCAGGGTCGTTTCTCATTTGCTCAGGCCACAGCCCGGCAGGTTGTCTGTCCTTGACTTTTTTCTCAGGGCCACATCCAGGTCATTAGAAAACCTGGCAGCACCACCTTCGGGACGTTTCTAGAATCTGCCCATCGCCTTCTCCTGGGCCCTGCCCTGTCCCGTCCAGTGTTGTCTCCACTTGGGTAGTTGCAGAAGCCTCCTCTCTGGCTCCCTGTCCCCCACACACAGCCAGGGGGACCCGTGAGTGCCCAGGTCGGATCATGTCCCTCCCCTGCTCCATCTCAGAGTAGAGGACAAAGTAGTCATTTGGCCACGAGATCCCATGTGATCTGCCACCACCTTTCTGTTCAGCCTGTCCCCTCTCTTGCTGGGACTGCCCAACCTGCCTTGTCATTGACTCTCCAAATTCCTTCCAGATTGCGCTTTTGCACTTGAGAGTCCCCTTCCTTGGGCTCTTCCCCAAATCTTGTCTTCTGACCTCTGTTCTGTCACTCAGGCCTTAGTCCAAATGCCACCTCCCCAGAGAGGCCTTCTCTGAGAAGCCTGGCTGGAGCAAAACGCCCAGCACTCGGGATCTACGGCCACGCTCGCATGGCTGCCAGAGGACAGGGTCTGGGAGAGGGACCTGCTCGACAGAAATTGCTGGAATGAGGTGCTCTGGCCTGTGCAGTTCCCCAGGCAGTGCCCCGAGCACCATGCACACATTATTTCATCCTTACTGTGGGGCTGTGGGAAAGATTGTCACCAACCCTATTGTCCCACGGAGGACAGCTCTTAGGGAAGCTAAGCAACATTCGGAGCAGCCCAGGGTGGCAAGTGGTGGAGCTGGGACTCAGGACAACCACAACTTCCAGGGAAGTGGCTTTATGAGAACCGCTCTCCCGATGGGGAAACTGAGGCCCAGGAGGGGAAGGAGTTGCTGAGGTCGACCCGCCGCCAAGTGGCTGCAGCTGGTGTGAGCCCCGCACACCCCGTGTCTGCCGAGGGAAGCGCCCTGCGCGCCGCGCTCCCGGCGGGACGCCTCGAGGGGAGCCCGTGCTGCACGTGGGCTCATGAATAATTGAGGGTCCTGGGCAGGCGGCCGCCCCGCAGCTGTCGCCCGCCGTAGCAGGCAGGGGGCGGCGGTGACGTCACTTCCTGCCCTGGGGGCCACCGCGCGAGTTAAAAAGCGAGGCCGCCCGGTCCAGGTCCGCACGCCCCGCCATGCCGCGCCCCGGGCCCTCCGCGCTGCTGCTGCCCCTGCTGATGGCGCTGGTGCTGGGGGCGGGTGAGTCTGACGCCCGAGGGGCTCGGGTGACAAGGACGGGACGGTGCACTCGCGGGGTCGGGCTAGATACCTCAGGGGTCGGCCTTCCAGGTGGGGACGGTGCAAGCGGCAGGTGCGCTGGGGAGGGGATGTGTGGGGACGGGGCGCCGGTGGAGCTGGGATCAGCACCGGGGACTGCGCCCGGGGTCGCGAGCACAGCCCCCTCCTCCTTCCTCCCACAGCCACTGCGGCTCCCTTGGCGCCCAGACCCTCCAAGGAGGAGGTGAGGAGTGTGGCCCCCTAGCCCTGCCACCCCTAGCCAGGGGCCCTGTCCTCCCTGTCCCACCATCCTCATCTCCCCTCTGACCCTCCAGCTACCGTCTCCCCACCTCCCCTGCCCTCAGCCTCACCTCTGACCCTTCACCCCTGCCCCCCAGCTGACCCGCTGTCTGGCAGAGGTGGTCACAGAGGTGCTGGCGCTGGGCCAGGCCCAGAGAGGACCCTGCACGGCTCTGCTCCACAAAGGTGAGGAGGACCGGGCCCAGGTCCTGCCCCGAGCCCAGGGCCACCTGCAGGAAGGGCCCTCTTGCCTGGGCTAGTGGCACTGCCCAGCGTTCCCACCTGACCGAGCCGGGCCACCAGCTCCACCCTGGGGGCTCCCTGCAGAGGGACGGGGTGTTCTGGGCAGCCCCGGGGGAGCTCGGGCAGGGCCCGGAACGCCTCGCGGTCTCAGCTTCCCAGTGCGATCGATCGACGCTCAGACAACATCCGCCTCTCTCCGCCAGCGATGTGCGACACGGAGCCCCACGGCTGCGTGTCCTCCGGGGAGAGAGGCCTGCTGGTTGGGGACTTCAAGAAGCAGGAGGCTGGGAAGACCAGGTCCAGCCAGGAGGTGAGGGACGAGGAAGAGGAGGAGACGGCAGAGAGGACACACAAGTCTGAGGTCCGGGAACAGGCCGTCGGTGAAAAGCTCCACAGCCGGCTCCGCCAGGAGGCGGAGGAGGAGGAGAAGAAGAGGGGACCCACGGAGACCTTCGAGGACCTGTGGCAGCAGCATCTAGAGAGTGGAGGGAGCCCCCAGAAGCGGGTGGCAGAGAAGGCCAGCAACGAGGAGACGGCCCAGTTCGAGGCAGAGGAGAAGGGCGTGCAGGTGCTGGGCGGGGGCCGCAGCCCGTGGCTCAGAGACAGGCCCGAGGACTCACCGCACCGCCACCACCACCGCCACCGCCAGCCAGAGGCTGAGCCCAGGCAGGAGGAGAGGGACGAGGCTTCGGAGAGGGAGGTGAGTGGGGGAGGCGCTCCCAGGCAGTAAGGGCCTGGGGTCACCCAGACGGTCCATGGAGTTGCCACCAAACCGCTACCAGTGTTGGCCCATACACAGCCAGACCCACCACACGTGGACCATAGTGACTGAGACTGACCCCCCCATGAGCCGGGCACAGTGGCTCCTGCCTGTAGTCCCAGCGACTCAGGAGGCTGAGGTGGGAGGACCGCTGGAGGCCAGGGTTCAAGTCCAGCCTAGGCAACATAGCAAGACTGTCTCCAAAAAAAAAAAAAAAAAAAAAGTGACACCAGGACTAGATAGCAACATCCACACAAGGCCTTTTCTTGACCAAGGAGGTTTGCACGCTGAGACTGCAGTAACTAGAGCCACTATTACTGCAAACAAGTTGGCCACCAAGAAAAGTGGCACCATGCCTGCGTCGCTAGGCTATAGACAGACACTGTTGCTGGGTCATGAAAAGTAAGATGTCACCATGATCAGTGGCAGTAACCAAAAGAGCCATCATGTCACAAGTGGGTCATGATATGCAAGTTGGGCCCCTTTGTTGGTCCCGAGCTGCTGCTGTTGGCTGTGGTCACATTGGCCAACGTGCCTCTTCTGGGGTAACACGGTCACCACTGCAGCCCGTGATGACTGGGACGACTGCTGCTGGCTGCCACTGTGAGAACTGACATGGCCTTCATTCAAGGGTGACCGCGAGGTGGCCTGCCTTGGAAGGTGGGTGCTGACCAGCCATTTCTGACCCCGGCAGGAACATGACGTGGAGCAGCTGGAGCACGTGAGGGACGCGCTGAAGGAGGCCACGGAGAAGCTGGGGGAGCAGCTCAGGAGGGAGGGCTGACCCCCGCCCCCTCCTTCCCGACACGCCCTGCGGCTTAGGACTGTTGGCCCCAAAGCCCCCGCCTCACCTGGCACCCTACTCCGCCCGCACCCTGGCACAGGTGGGGAGCAGGGTGTGCCTTACTTAGACCTCAGCCTGAGGGGACGAATCTGAGCTGGGTAGCGGGGCTGGGCTCAGACCTGACTCAGGAAACACCCCACGCCCGTCTAGCCCCCTCCCACCCTTCTGAGTGAATAAAGCACAAAGAAAAACCACCTCGGCTGAGTGTGCAGCATGATTTTGGAGGGACAGGCCTCCGGAAGAAACCGGAGGACTGGGGACACAAGCGTCAGTCTGATCTCTGGTTGTCAGAACTGGGATTTTATTAAGGGGAAACTATATTAAAAACGAGTCAGACAGGGCCAGGGTCGTCCGGAAGAGGCTTCGAGGCGGAGGTAGGAGGCAACCGGGTTTGGCTCCGGCCACTGTGGACCACGATGTCGTCGTATTCATCCTGGGGGCAGAGGGGGCCAGGCAGAGGGGCTCAGGTGGCTGCTCGGGGGCCGTCACCTTGCCCCCCTGCCTAAGTCCTTACACAACACCCTAAGAATTGGGCCTTGCCTTGAAACCTGAGTTCCCCGGCTCCTGGTTCAACTTCCCGGCTCCCAGCTCTCAGACGCCATTGTCAAGGTCATTTCTCCCGTGGCCAAGTCCTCCCACCGCTATGGATGGAGCTCAAGCCCAGACGCCACTCCAGTGCCGCAGCAACTTGACGCGTCTCTCCCGCACCCTTCCCTCTGCCTCTAGCCAAACTCCTCAGCCCCACCACTCAACGCCACGCTTCACCCAAGGTTCTTGGATGCCAGAGTTCTGCAACTGCACCCCTCCGCACTGCTGGCGACGTCTTCCCCCACCGCCGCCCAGGGTCGTCCTCCCGCAGCCTGAGTTCTCCAGCTCTTGCTCCCTAAAATCGCTCCCAGCGCTCACACTCATCACCGCCTGTGATCACTGGTCACTGCGACCAAGGTCTTTTCTCTGCCCCTGCCTGAGTCCCACTTCTGCCACTGCCTTAATTTATTGGCCGCCACTGCCCAAGTTCCCGCCACCCCTGTCCAGGTCTCTCCTGACTGTTGCCCCATGTCATTCCTGCTGCCGACGGAGTCCTCTAACTGTGGCAGCCCGAGGTCAGTCTCTTTTTTTTTTTTTGAGACAGAGTCTCACTTTGTTGCCCAGGCTAGAGCAAGTGCTGTGGCGTCAGCCTAGCTCACAGCAACCTCAAACTCCTGGGCTCAAGCGATCCTCCTGCCTCAGCCTCCCGAGTAGCTGGGACTACAGGCGTGCGCCACCATGCCCGGCTAATTTTTTCTATATGTATTAGTTGGCCAATTTATTTCTTTCTATTTGTAGTAGAGACGGGGTCTCGCTCTTGCTCAGGCTGGTTTTGAACTCCTGACGTCGAGCAATCTGCCCGCCTCGGCCTCCCAGAGTGCTAGGATTATAGGCGTGAGCCACCCCAAGCCTGGCCCCGAGACGGGTCTCAATGCGCTGCCTAATTATCTCCTCCCGCTACCCCCCTGCCTGTTTACCCCCCCCGCCCCCCGCCAGCTGCTCTGCCCCATTTGTCCGTTTGTCCTCCTGACTCACGCCCTCATCCCTGCTGTCGCTGTCACTGTCGCTGTCACTGTCACTACTGCTGCTGCTGGGGCCAGGCTTGTCGTCTTCATCCTCGGGCTCAGGGGCTCCATGTGCGCGGAGGAGGCGGGCGAGGGTGGGGTTGGGCCGGAGCGTGGCACTGCCCAGCGGGGTGCGGCCGCCGTACATGCGGGCAGCGGGGTCCGCCCCTGCCCTCAGGAGAAGCTCCAGCACATCGGCCGCCTGGGCCTCCACTGCCAAGTGCAGGGGGCTCCGGCCGCACGTGGGCTCCTGTGGGTGCCACAGAGAGGTCAGAAGGTCTGAGGAGGGGACAACCCGCTCCTCTCCCCACCGCCTTCCCCCTGGGGCGGGGCTCACTGGTTTGTTGAGGTCAGCTCCGGCTTCTCGGAGCAGCCGGACCATCTCCGCGTCTCTGTGGATGACGGCCACGTGGAGCGGGGTGTGCCCTGGGAATAGAGTGGCGTTGGACGATGGGGTGAGGGGCCCGGGCCCCCAGAGCCACGATCCTGGGGGAGGTAGCCTGAGGGTGATCAGGTTTGGGGCCTGGCTCCTTAATTCCTGGGTACATCAAAGAGGCACCTGGGTCCCAAATGCCTACGCCTCAGGTGCCTAGGCGGGGGACGTCTCGGGCTCACAGGTGAAGTGCCTGGGGTCTCTGGGGGGGGAGGCTTGGATCTTGGGGCCAGGTGACCTGAATCTCTGGTCTTATGTCACCTGGAATGCCACAGATTCACAGAGGGGCTGGGCTTTGCATTCCTTAGTCCAGGGTGCGTTAGGGACCTGGGTGGGGAGCCTGGGCCCAGCAACTGGGTCCTGGCAGCTCTGGGCCCCAAGTGGTCTGGGATCTTCAGGTGGGGGTTCTGGGTCCCATATAGTCAACTCTCAATAATCTGGGGCCTGAGTGGAAGTCCCTTGTCCCGATGCCTGGGTCCCTGAAGCCTAGGTATGTTTTCTCAAGGGCCTGGGTCTTGAGTCTGGGAAGCTGAGCCCAGAGCCAGCTGTTCTTGCTTTGCCTGGGGGCTGAGCCCTTCCCACTAACGGGGACCTCACCATCATAGTTTTCAGCCTCCAGCTGCAGCTTCCAGTCCTCCTCACTCTCCTCTTCTTCCTTCTCCAAGTCAGATTCAGGGTACAAGACAACAGGGGTGTGGTCGGTGTCGCGGGTGTGGTCGGCGTGGGGGGTATGGTCAGGGTCCTGAGCAAGGTAAGTGTCAGGGTCTTCCCTGGGGCGCCGGGGGCGGGGCTGGAGCAGTGCACGTGCGCACCCATGTGCCCCAACACGACAGGCCAGGTGCAGCGCTGTGTGACCCCCACGCTCTGCCACGCACAACCTAGAGCCTGCTGCGTACAACTTCTCCACCACAGATGCCTCCCCCAGGATGGCTGCCAGGTGCAGGGCTGTCTGCAGGAACAGAGGGTGAGGTTAGGCAAAGCACTGGGAACCCTGGAACCCAAGCCCCACACTGTCCCCTAGTGGCTTACCTGGCCTAGGTCATTCTGCAGGTCCAGGTACTCCGTTCCGGCTGAGAAGCTCAGGAGGAAATCCAGGAAAGGTTCATGCTGATGAATCACAGCCAAGTGCAGTGCCCTGGGGACAGAGGCAGGGGTTAGAGGGTAGAGGTCAAGTCCTTGTGCATTCCTTCATTCAATAAACATGAAGCACCTACTGTGTGCTAGGTATTATCACCACACTTCTGAAACCAGCTGTCGGCTATCTGGGAGAATCAGAGGTCAGAGTTACTTCAGGAAATTTGTGTAATCAATGTTTATTAAGTGAGATTTCTGGCCAGTGTAGTGGCTCACGCCTATAATCCCAGCACCACTCTTGGGGGCCAAGGCGGGAGGATTGCTTGAGCTCAGGAGTTCGAGACCAGTCTGAGCCTGAGCAAGAGCAAGATCCCATCTCTACTAAAAATAGAAAAATTAGTCCTTACTAAAAAAAGAAATAGAAAAATTAGCCGGGTGTCATGGAGCATGCCTGTAGTCCCAGCTACTCAGGAGGCTGAGGCAGGAGGATCACTTGAGCCCAGGAGTCCAAGACCAGCCTGAGCAACAGCAAGACCCCATCTCTACTAAAAATAGAAAGAAATTAGCTGGACAACTAAAAATATATAGGAAAAATTAGCCGGGCATGGTGGCACATGCCTGTAGTCCCAGCTACTCGGGAGGCTGAGGCAGGAGGATCATTTGAGCCCAAGAGTTTGAGGTTGCTGTGAGCTAGGCTGACGCCATGGCACTCTAGCCCTGGCAACAGAGTGAGACTCTGTCTAAAAAAAAAAAAAGAAAAGAAAAGAAAAATCCAATTAATCAATAATAAAAGTAAGTAGCAATCATAAACATTTGTGCCCCTAATAACAGAGCTTAAAAGTATACAAAGCAAAATCTAATAGAACAACTACAAGGAGAAACAGACAAATCCACAATTATAGTTGAAGATTTCAATATCTCTCTCTCCATAATTGATAGAACACGTAGACACAAAATCATCAGCAAGATCTTAGCACTCTAGGAGGCCGAGGCGAACAGATTGCTCGAGGTCAGGAGTTCGAAACCAGCCTGAGCAAGAGCGAGACCCCGTCTCTACTATAAATAGAAAGAAATTAATTGGCCAACTAATATATATAGAAAAAATTAGCCGGGCATGGTGGCACATGCCTGTAATCCCAGCTACTTGGGAGGCTGAGACAGGAGGATTGCTTGAGCCCAGGAGTTTGAGGTTGCTGTGAGTTAGGCTGATGCCACGGCACTCACTCTAGCCTGGGCAACAGAGTGAGATCTGTCTCAAAAAAAAAAAAAAAGTATACTGAATTAGATGAAAATGAAACACAATGTATCAGAATTTGTGATATTGCTAAGCAGTACTCAGGAGGAAATTTACCGCACTCAACACCTATATTAGAAAAAAAAGAAGTGCTCAAATCAACAACCTCAGCTTCCACCTTAATAAATTACAAAAAGAAGAACAAATTAAACCCAAAGGAAGCAGAAGAAAGGAAATAATAAAAGTCAGGGCAGAGGCCAATGAAATAGAAGGAAAAAAAACTAATACAACCAAAATTAATTCGTGAAACTAAAGCTGGGTCTTTGAGGTCAATGTTTGTTGAGTGCCTCCTATGGGTCAGGCACTGTATGAGTCACTGGGACGCAGCAGTAAACACAACAGACAAAAACCCCAGTACAGTCCCTCACTTGGGGCCTTTACAACTGCGGTTCCTTCTGCCTGGAATGCCCTGACACTCAGTTTTTCTACTTGCCTCATTTTCCTGCTTTTCCTGCTTTATTTTTCTACAAAGCACTTACTACCTTCTGACTGTCTTTCCTTTTCTTTTTCTTTTTGTCTTTGTTTCTTTCTTTCTGTGTGTCTTTGTTTCTTCCTGTCTTTTCTTTCTTTTATTTTTTTTCCTAGTGTCTTTTTCTGAGAAGACTGTCTTTCTCTCTTCTTCCTTCCTGTCTTTCTATCTATATAGCCCCACTAAAATCTATGCTCCACAAGGGCATAAGTTTTCGTCTGTTTTCTTCACTGCCTATCACCAGCTCCTAAAACAAGGCCAGGAACTTGACAATGTGAGAGAAATATTTGTTTAACAGATGAAACCCAGTATTCATGGTGCTTACGCTCTCTCTTTGAA